CATCTGCCTGCCTGCCTACCTCTGGAGGTCTATGTAGCAGAGCCTCTTCCCACAAGTCTGGCCCCATCCATGCCCCCAGACGCAGTCCATCACCGTCTGGTCAAACTCCAAGCCTAATTAAAATCCCCTGACCTAGTCTTCAGACAGAGCTAACAGGACAGCAGCAAACACAGGAAAGGCAGGCCTGAAACCAGGTGCAAGGCTGGTTCTATCCCAGCATCCAAACTGGGCCCCTGACAGAGCAGAACATTTGCTGCCAATGCCAGAAGCCCTAAGCACAGACATATTTCCCGAAACCAGAGCTTTGGAGGGGCCTAGGCCTCTGTCATTGTCACCCAAGGGGTTGGGGGAAGGGGCAACTCCTCTTAGGTTCCAGGTCTCAGGACCACAGGAAGAGACAGTAGGCCACCCCATGCCAGAGCTCAGACAGCCACCATCAGACACCAGCCAAGGCCTTGCCTAGGTGTCCACCTACCCACCGCTGGAGGACCCAGGCTCCACTGTGAAGAGGGAAGAAGTCAGGGAGCCAGCTAACACTCCTAGTCATCTGGGATTGCAGCTAGCCCAGGAGCAGGATGGATATGCCCATACCTAGCTCAGGATGGGGTGTGTGGACAGGGGCTAGCTCAGGTTCTGGGTTTTGGAATTAAAGTTCCTCAAAGGCCAACTACCTCCAGCTCAAGCCCTTGCCTGGGTCCCCCAGGACCTGTCTCTGTCCCAGCCCACCTCCCATTCTACCCAGATACCATGAGGACTCTTGAAAACCACAGTGCCCTTCCTGCCAACCCAGATACACAACATCCATTCTCCATCCATCACACTACACGCCTGTTTTCCAACCACTTCTATGGGCCCAGGGACAAAGGCCCCATCCACTTCCATGTCTAAATCCTCCACTGGCCAGGTTAGCTCTTTCTGCCTCCTGGCCACTTCAGGGTGTACTATACAGCCTTGAACAAGCCCCCACCCAACCCATAAAGGAGAAGTACCACCTGCCCCTAGCTCCACCTGAGGAGGATGTGGGTCTCACGGGGATGGTGTGGGAGGCAGGAGACCTTAGCATGGGTGCAATGGAGAGGCCAGTGCCCATACAGCTCCAGAAGGCATGGAGGGAAGCGTGGCCTTTTGGTGTACATGCAAGGCACAGATTCCAGAATAGCCCACCTGGGTCAGATGGGGCCAGGCCCTGTGTCCACACCACCAGATCGGCTCTGATTAGTCCCGACAACCTCCACCCCTCCATCCTAGTGGGCAGCCCTCCCCTGACCACTTTGCCTCGCCACCCTCAAGTACACCACCTAGCACACATTTGGCCATGTGCTGGACAGCCAGTAGGGGGAGAGGAAGGACTTGGGCAGGACAGAGCCACATTGGAGACTTCAGAAGAAAGCATGCTGGGCATCCGACAGCCTCATCCAGCTTCAGGCGTCCCAGTCAAAAAGGAGGCAGGGCATCCACCTCAGCTCTTCTGAGCCACGGAAACCAGGTCAGCCTCGGACCCACCTCACTTTCACTCGTGACCCCCGATGTGCCACGAAGCCCACACTCTACCATATTACTCGTCTTCCAGCTCTGGGAGTGCACACACCACTGGCCTGCCACCAAGGAAGCAGACTGGAACAGGGCCGCACCCCTGGGCTCAAAAGGCAAGCTGGTCAGGCAGAAAGCCTGCAGCAGAGACCGCTCCTCTTCTGGAAGCCTTCGCTAGAGAGGCCAGCAACCCCCTTGCTCCTCACTCAGCCATCCTGAAAGTGCCATCCACCAGACCCCAAAGGAAAGTTCCTGATCCTCTCAGAACCCTCTGCCGCCACCTGCTCAGCCCACAGAGCTCAAGCATGTGCGGTGGGACATGGCTTCCCCTCGGCTGGGTATAGGCGGGCACCAGAGCCACTCTGGGGAAAACACACATCTCCCGGGGCCATCCATGATGCGCACAACCCAATGGGGGTTGTTGCACCTCTCCACATCTAAGAATTCACTCAGAGAGGCTCCGCGGCAGGTACAGAGCCAGAGGCACACCCAGAGCAGACTTGTGCGAAGCTGGTGCCTGCTCTCAGTCACCTTTCACACCACCCCATCTTTCCACAGGGCCCTCCTGGCACCCAGGCGCCCAAGTCTCAGCTGGTCCTTGCTGTTCCCAGAAGCCGAATGCTCCGGTGCGCACCTGGATTCCAAATGCACCCTGGTTTGTGGGACAGAGCTGAACTTGTGGCAAACCGAGCAGCTTGGCCGCAGGGCTGTTGCCGAAGAACGGAAATACCAAGGAACTGGCATCACGGCACCAGCTCCACGCCTGGCAGCCAGGTCACGCAGCGAGAGGGGAGAAGGGGGACCAGAACTGTCCCCCCGAAACACAGGATACCCTTTGACCCCTCCACCCAGGGCAGAAACATGCCCACTCCTGGGGCATTGAGGGAACCAGCTGGGAACAGAACGAAGGAGGTTAAAATGTCCTCAACACCAGGTAGGTACCCAGACTCCAAAGAAGGCGAGGGCCTGTCCCATCCCGTCCCACACCAACCGGCTGGCCAGCGGGGCAAAGAGCCACGAGGGACACGCGTTGGCCCGCCACATTCCTCCAGGCCCTCCCTGCCCCCACACCACTGCTGCCAAGTCGAGCAGAAAACACATCCTCAGGTAGCGATTTGGAGCCACGCTGGCTGGGGCCCAAGTGCAGATGACAGGCTGTGGGCCCTGCTCAGACCTGCCCGCTGTGCTGCTGTGGGGGCGAGGGGGGCAGGGCCAATAGTAACTGCCTAGGGCCCCTCCCAGGCCTGCCCCTGCCTTTTCCATTTCAGGGGCACATTTCCTATTGCAGGCCCCCAGGGTCAAGGATACCTGGCTAGGCATGGGAACAGAGGATTCCCTATATACGGAGCAGGACTCCAGGGAAGGATAAAGATGCGAGGCACAAGCTGGGTGGCCTCGGATGAAAGAGCTGTCCAGGGCTCAGAGCAAGGGCAGAGTAAGGGAGACCCTGCCCTCCCAATCTTGGCCATTCCTGGCCCCCAGCTCCAAGTCTCTTTCAGGACCAAGGCACCAGGCAGACCCACTCCCACGGCTCTTCGCAGCTGGACCAAGCGCAAGACCTCACCCAGGAAACCTCTCGGGTCATTGCCTGATACCCCACTCCACTCCCTATTCACAGGCCCGCAGGCCCACCAATGCCAGCTGTTCTTAACCTGGTTCTCCACGCTAGGTCCACATTCACTGCCCATACCTCATTTCATACCTGCAGACAATCAGGTAAGAGTATACACCAGAAAGTGAACAAAAGCAAGTACCATAAGGCCCACTCCCAGGCCTTTCTGCCACAGGCACGGGGCCTGTCTCCCCCTGATGCTGGATCCCCACCACCCTTCTTCCCAGCATGCCCAGGCTTGGGTTCCTGCCTGACCTGGCCACCCCTAAGCAGACAGGATGCTTCCCAATTCCAGAAACGAACAAGCAAAATGAAACATCCACAAACGGCGGTGCCACAGTGGGTTACAACTTGGAGCCTAGTTAGTGTCTCTTCCTTTGGGAGGGGTGGTCTTTCCATCTGTAGCAGTTTCTGCACACACACACACACACACACACACACACACACACACACACACACACACACACACACACCAGGCCATCCCTGCGCGGGTCCCAGGCGCCTGTCCGTGCCCCCGGGCATCCAGGAAACTGCAGGGCAGGAGCAGGCTGGCCGCGGGCCCGGACGGCTCCGCCAGGGCCTGCCCCAGACCAGCCCCAGCACGCGCAGCGCACATGCCTGCGCAGCCTGCCGGGCCGCAGGCGCCTCGCACCTCCCCACGCACAGACACGCGCAGGGCGACATCGGCACACTCCGAAGGCCGCCGAGCACGCAGATTCTGGCCACCCCGCCCCGCCACGACCCCAAGCCCATCGGCCCCCGGGTACCCCGCGCGCCCACGTGGCCAGGCGCGAACCTGGCCGCAACAGCACGCGCCCCAGGCCCGCCCGCTGCGCGGCGCCCCCTGCCGGCCCCGCCCCGTCTGGGCGCGCGCCGCCCGCACCCGCGCGGCCGCAGGTGCTGAAGGGACCGCGGCGGGCGCCGAGGCGCGCAGGGAAGCTGAGTGCGGGGGAGGGGCGCACGTACCGGCCAGGCGAACTGAAAGGGAATGACGACGAGGCCCGGGTCCTGGTGGCCGCCGGTCCGAGACCGCGCGCGCGCTCGGTCTCCCGCAGCGCCCGCCGGCGGCAGGTAGAAGGAGTTGCCACCCAGCACGGGCGTGGCGCCGTAGCCGTAGCTGCAGGGACCCGTGGGCGTCACCTTGGCCTGGTACTCCTTAAGGCACACGCGCACGTACGTGTCGCACTCGTCGCGGCCGCAGCCCCCCGCGCGCGTCGTCCGGCCGTCGCCGTCACAGCAGGCGCCGCTCAGCAGCTCCCCGTTCACGTTCCGCAGAGCACTCAGCTGCAGCTCGAAATAGCCCATGGGCCGCGCCGCCTAAAAATAAGGCAGCGGAGAGTGCAGGGAGGCGCGGGCCGGGGTCGCCGAGCCTCTGCCCCGCCCCCACCCTCGCGCTGTTCCTAGGGCTCCGGACCGCGGCCGCTTGCGCGCCGCCCGGCCTGGAGGAGCGGCCCGGTGCGCCCCGTCCGCGCCCGTCGCCACCGCGCGCCCCGCTCACCTGCACGCACAGAAGCAGCAGCAGCAGCAGCCGCCCAGGCAGGCGCCCCCAGCCGCGTGCCCGCATCGCCGCCTCGACCCCGCCCGCGGCCCCGCCGCCGCCGCCGCCGCCGCCCGCGCCCGCTACAGCCGCCGCGCCGGCCTCCAGCGCCCGCCCGCCCTACGAGCCCGGCGGCGCACAGGCGGCGGCGGCCGCACAGGCGGCGCGGGCGGGGTCGAGCAGTGCGCGCGGGCTGCGCGGCGGGCGTGCAGGGGAGGCGGCGGCTCCGGCTCGCTGCGGCCGCGCTCCGGCGGCCGGCCCGGCTCCCACCCGGCGGCGGCGGCGGCGGCGGCGACGGCGGCGGCGGGTCCCGGCCTCGGCTCTGCGCGCCCGCGCTCCCGGCACCGCAGCCAACAAGTTCGGGACGAGACTGACAGCTCGCTCGCCCATTCGTCACCCGCGCACCTGCATATTCATGAGGGGGCGGGGCCTCGCCGTGGGGTGGGGCTGTGGGGGGGTGCTGGGGGCGCCCCGGGCTTTAAAGGAGGCGAGGGCGCGGTCTCCGCGCGGGGCGGCGGGGCGCGGGGCCACCACGCAGTGGCTTCTCTTGTGCCCAGGCTCGCTGAGGTGTGGCCTCTTCTCCTCTAGAATTCTCCCCCGGGTTAGCAGCCTGGGAGTGGGGCGCCCCCTGAGGTCACCGTCATGGTCCCCTCCCATCAGAGCGCAGCCACTCTCGCTCTGCTCTTGGTCCCAAAGGAGATGCTGCCTGATGTACGCATCAGGATTTTGCCCCCATGCAGGGCGGATGGGGCCCTGGGACCTGAATGAGCCCAACTCCTGGTGCGCCCCCTTCCCCGAGGAATCTCCCCCGCTCCTCAGCCTCCTGCCACCTCCACGCAGGCTACAGGGGGCGCTGCTCCCCTCCGACGCCCAGCCCTCCCCTCCTCCAAGCGCACAGGTTGAGTAGCCAGTCAACAAATGCTCCTTCCTGCAGGCTGTTTAGGAGGTGGACGTCGCCAGACTCTTATCTTCAAGGAACTCGCCGGCCAGAGGTCCAAATTTGGGGGAAAGGAAATGGGAATAAAGGACAGTGGTCCATATCAAGAGAGCTACCCAAAGAGGATTTTCCAGCAATCTGGGAATCCCAACCCTCCACTACCATCTCTTAAGCCTGTTCCTAGGTGATCACCTCCTCCGCATGTCAATACCAAGGGTTCTTCGTCTACAAACGGCCTCTGTTCCACTCAGCAGAGCCCTTTCCAGTGCCAGTGGTAACCCCAGTGATTAGAAATCCCCATACTTGAGGTGGTGATGTGTTACCCTGCCCTTCAAAACCCCACAATAGCTGGGTTGTCCTTTCTCCAAGGATCCTCTCCCAGGTTTCCCCGACTGGACCAAGTCACTGCCAGAGGACTTACTGGGGGAGGGGGAAATTCTGATACTGGTGAATCAGAGGCACAGTAGAAGTGGACCAGGGATACTACCTTGCCTCCTGGATATTGCCTGGCAACCTACACAGGGAGCCAAGCCCTGGGAATGCCTTGAGCAGTGCACCTGTCCCACCAGTGTCCAATGCCTCTCCAAAATCTCCTGCAGAAGCAGCAGGCCTGCAAGGTTGGGCCAGCATCCCCCATACCTGGCTCTGCACACTCAGAGTGCTCCCACCCCAGCCTGAGCCCAGGAAGACCACAGGCAGGTAGGCTAGTTGGGGGGCATGACAAGCCAGGCCTGGCTACACACAGGGACACCCACCAAATAAGGGAATTGGAGTGTGTCAAGAGTCTTCCCGATGTTTGCATCTTTAAAGAAGACAATCCCTTTGCAGATTCAGCCTCACTTTCTCTCCGGCCTGGAGACAGGGAGGCCACAGAGGACACAAGAGCCTTAGCTTTCCCAGCTTGCCTATGTTCACCATCTCTTTGAGGCACCCAGCAAAGCTGTGAACTAGGCAGCCACAGCCCTGACCTACCTGCAGGGACCTCTCTAAGGGTGGATGATATATTGTAGACCAGCAAACCGTAAAAGAGTCTAAAACCAGGTGCCTCCACACACCCCCACTCCCACGCCCCATGAGACCCAGAGGGTGGGGCAGCAAGGTGAGGAAAAGGAATAACACGCTAAGGTTCTGGGGCTCAAAGAACCTGACAAGGGCTTATGAGGACAAAATATCCAAACCAAGGTGGGTGGTAATACTGCAGTCTTCCTGCCGATACCAGTGGGAAGTCACAAAGAGCCTGGATGGCTGTGTCACACCACGACTTACATTTTCATCAAGATCCCTGACAGCGGCCTGGAGGGGTGTAAGGGGAGGTCAGGGTGATGGCACGGTGCTGTTGAGAGGCACAGGTGTCTAGGACAGTGTCTGGGGTGTCCAGGCAGTGCAGGGGCTGGGGCGGGGGGAGCTCAGCATGAAATAGAACCCAGGGATAACCCTGCAGCCCATCTCTGTGTGCCTCCCTGTTTCCTGCTGTCAGGTAGCTGTGGGAGGACAGGCCAGCAGGCAGAGCCACGGTGTGCTGACATGGACTTCTGTGTGACTGACTCAGCCTACTCCCACCCCCTTGCTCAGAACTGTGGGTGCAGTGGCTCAGGGAAGGATTCTTCATCAGGCCAAGACACAGGACTTACCTTGTAGGTACACAGGCTCCGAGGGGGTCTGTCCAACAGCATGCCTTGGAGAACAGGGAGACCTGGGTCTCCTTGGTTAGAACAGCTGGTGACTATCAGGGCAGTATATTCAATACCTGGATGACACCTGCCATGACCAGGTGTCATCACCACAATGGTGATGACCTCCTCTTCCTCCTCCTGGGCACCACCACCTTACCTGATGGTGACCAGCAGATGCTGAAGGTGTGGAAGGTGGCCACTTGCATTGAGTGGGACCTCCCCTGAAAACCCCCGCCCTGCACTGATTTCGGCAGCTTTCAGGCAGAATTGCCAGGGGCAGATGGACCTGCACGTGGAGAACTGTTGCCTCACACACCCTTCAAACCTAATGCTTGCCTTCATGCTGCTCCCAGTATACTTGGGGGCTCAGAAACCCTGACCTGACCCTGTGGGGTCAGCTGCTCTGCCTGTTCAGGAAGGCCTTCATCACCCACTGGGCATGACTGACTCCCGCCTGGTGGCTCTCGCCAAGATCCCTAACACTTGAGGTCTGGGCCTGTTCTGAATGGGTGCTTAGCTTGAGCTGGACAGGCACAGAGGGGCCTCAGGACCAGGCTGGAGGATGAGGCAGCCCAGGATTTGGACGGAGCTGGCTGGGCTCAGGAGTGAGCTATGCTTCCGCCCATGTCCTGTGATGCTAAATATAGCGGCCAGGGAGGGGAGTTTCCGGTTACAGCCCCCCCACCCCAAGCCGGGAAATCGATGCCAGCTCCATTAGGCCCAGCACTGGTGCCGGCTGACCTGCCCGCCAGGCTGCAGATCAGAGTGAGGGACTGGACTTTACCCAAGCCCAGGTGCCCTGACTCCTAACCCATCCTCCTGCCCTCCAGAGCCCTCCCCCACTCTGCCCGTCAGACAGCGAACACCCAAGGGCAATCCTGAGGGTCATGGGATTCCGATGGTGGGCATTAGGCAGCTGCAGGATGTAAGGGCAGGGCATAGATGGCAGTGGCTGGATATACTCCTGTCCTGGGACCATCAAGGTGAAGCTGGATCACTGTGCCTCCCTGTATTCAGCTCCTGGACACACACCACATGCCTAGGGACCCTTCCCTAAAATAAAATTAAAAAAAAAAAAAAAGAAAGAAAGAAAAGAAAAGCTGTGGTTGCTTGTCTGGCTGAGCCCCACCTAAATTGCTACAAACATTTGCATACAGGTGGTGCTATCTGAGCAGTCCACATGTCACAGCCTCCTCAGGGTGGTGCCTCAATGTCACACCCACCTGGGGCATAGGGAGGGGGTGAAGCCAGTGCCCCCCATCCTCCAGGGCAGGGCAGGGGGCTGTAAGAGGACAGAGGGCACCCCACCCACCTCAGCATCCCTATCTCAGTGTCCACGATTAGGATTCCGACACTTCAGCTCCTGGCCTCATACAAGGGGACACTGAGACACAGAGCACCAGGACATGCTCATAGACAGCTCATCACCTGAGTGCCACTGTACTAAGTTACAAGGGGGAAGGGGGCATCTCTCCAGGATACCTCGTGGCCCTCGTCAGTGGGATGTCATATAAGATGCTGACTGGAGGGTTTGAAGCTCTGGGGAAAGGCACAGCTGGCCACGACTCTGCAGCCTGACCTTACCCAAGACAGACCAACTTCCGGATCCCTCAGATGTCCCCCAATGCACCTTTCACAGGGCGGCTTGAAGTATGTGCCTGTGGTCCAGGTGGCTGGCTAGGTGGGACAGCATGCCCTTTTGTCCACGGCAGGCACTCTGGGGACCTGGAGGATGGCTCTGAGCTATGTGCATGCCTCTCGTAGCCCCACCCTCAGGCCAGAGAGCAAGGCCAGCAGCACTGTGAGCTGTCACACTCCTGAGGCAGCTCTATGCAAGGACCAGGCTGCCCACACCAAGATGACTGCCCTAGATGCTCATCATGGCCAAGCCTGCAACATTACTTGTGTCCTACAGGCCAAGTGAGGTCCCCTCAAGTCACGGAGAGGGCACTGGAGACCCCAGATACAGAGTATCCCTAGCCCTGAGTTCCTGGGCAGTGGCAGTGCTGTTCGAGCCCAAGCCCAGGCATGGCAGGGACCCTATATCTGCCCAGATCAGGGAGTATACACTCTCTGGAATGGGCAGGACTGTACCCATTTCCTCTCAACTGAGGCCGCATTCAGTCTCTCTACTCCTGCAGATACAGCTCACGTTGTGCACAGGGAATGGTGGCCCTGTCCCAGATTGAACACTTAGCCTGGTCCCCTCCCGAGCTGGCTACTCCACCTGACTATATCCCAGGCTTGCCGCACCAGCCCCGACAGCCATCTGCCTCCCAGGGCATCCAGCCACTTGCACAGCCTGAGGAGGGACACAGGGGCTTGTGTGGAGACCTGGTTGCCCCTCAAGACAGTGATCCTCACCCCAGTGGCCATCAGTGAAAATTATGCAAGCTTTATTGAGTGTGTAGGGCAGGAAGGTGAGTGGACGGGACCGGCCTGTCCAGCCCCAAGGTCTCACTGGAGACTCAGGTGAGGAATGACGTGGCTAAAGAACCAAGAGATCCCGAAGATAACACCAAGAGTCTTGGGGATGTTGGGGTTGTCGGCAAAGGCCTGGGCCTCATCCAAGTTCAGATGTACCACCTCGATGAGCTCCCCCTCCTGAGCCAGGCCTCCACCAGGCCCACTTCGCTGGGCATCTGTCACCTCTGCATAGAACATGGTCTGCCTGGAGCCAGTCAATCCTACTCCAGACCTGTCAGGTAGAACAGGGGGCACTGAGACACCATGGCGACCCTGCCAGCCACCCTGCTTCCATGCCCCTCTCTCTGGCTTTCTGATGGGCAGAACTCTTGAGTGGCTTCACCCCTCCCAAATACCACTCCTGGTGGGTACATCCATGTCATGTATGCCCCCTAGAGTGGGGGAACCCGATGCATGTTGGGCATGCCTTCTGGCACTAGACTATCATATGGCGGAGGTGGGGGATCTCACGCTAATTAGGAAAGGGACGTAAAGAGCACTGAAATGATTTTGATCATTGGGCTGGAGAGATGGCTCAGCCACCAAAGACGAGACTCGCCATCCAACGGTCAAGACAAACATGATGACTGGCATTTAGGGAAAACAAAAATGTCAGAGGCATCATACACACATCATGGACCCAGGATCCTGCTCGGCTACCGGACTGAACTCATCCCAAGGGAGATACCCGGGTAGGCCTGGCCTAACCAGGTGAACTCACACGACAGCTTCCACCTCAAAACTGGAGAAGTCTGATGCTTTCTGCTAACAGAGACCAGAACAAGCTGCTGTGTTGTAAGGAGACACATGGCAGGGACCTTCGGGCACCACTGAGATCTAGGAGTGGTTCCTGGTCAACAGCTAGTCAGGAAGTGGCCGCCATCCCACAGCCGCAGGAATTGGAGTGTGCTACCTTTGTATGGATGTGGCTGGCAGCCCTGAATGAAGCTTATGAGACCCTGAGTGGAAGACCAAGGACCCTGGACATAGACTGGATATGCAGAAGCCATGGGGTCATAAGCAAGCAGAACTAGAGTCTGTGATAGGCTCTTAGAATCTGTTCATTAGGCCCCTGCCCGTGGCGCCTGCCGGGTACCCAACCAGGGCCTGACTTCCATAACTGCTAAGGCCCAAGCCAGCAGCTCCTGATTGATTGGGGAGCCATGGAGAAACCAGAGACCGGGTGTGGCGGTGGGGATCACAGACCTCTTCACATAAAAGGGCAGATTCCAACACAGTTCCAGACAGGTGCAGGTGGGGAAATCTCTCAGCAGGACACTTCATGGAGGCAGGAGCAGAACTGGGAGATACTTAAGACCTCCCAACCCCCAAGAGGAGGACCCCCACCTCCAAGACTGACCATGCCCAGCTACCGCTTTATGCCCACAGAGCCCTTCCTGATGGCCCATTTTCCTGACAGTCACGGCCTACACCTGTGATTGGAATCAGCCACCGGTCTCAGTTCCCCAACTCATGAGGGAGACAGCTCCAGCCTGTGGTCTGGGCAGGCTAGAGGCTGCCTCCAGCCTGGGCAGGCTCTAATGTCATTCACACAACAAAGCAACAACAGTCACGTATGACTATCAAGGGAGTGGACTGGCTTACTTCTGGTCTTGGGCAGGGAACCATTAAGTGGGTAGGCTCTGATCTGTTCAGTCCCAGTGAGGCCCACAGGGACAGGTGCTCCGACTTTCACTTAGCCTTTTACCCTCAGTCATGCTTCCTCACAGCCACACCCTCCTCTTCGAAATATAAGTCTGAGCAGGATGATCACTAGCCGGCTCTCTAGTACCTTCAGTTAGGACACAGCCCAGGGGCCCTGCCTATGAAACCTCTCAAGACAAGGTTCCCTTGTCCTCAAACATCTGCCAGGACCCCCCACCCCAAAAGCTAACTTCCTTCCCGCCTTCCATCCCGTCTGTCTGCTCCACACACTAGCCCCACTCCTATGAAGAAGGCCAGATTCCTTAGATTCTCCTGCCCTAAACACTGTCATGTTGGGAGCTGAAGGATCCAGGAATCACTGTCCGTCCAAATGGAAGACATAGAAAAGGACACAGACCAGCCCTTCAGAGGCGATGGTCAACACTGGATCCAACACGGTCCAACCACAGCGAGGTGCTGGAGTGAGGTCTTCAGGGATGGAGGCAGGAGGGCCCTGGCTGGGTGGAGAGTGCCAGGAGAGAAGTGGCAGGGACTCTGGCCCTTTGTGGTTGAAGGTGGGCTCAGGCCCCTGTAAAGGTGGTACTCAACCTTGTAGGGGGACAGGCACCATAAGACCCTTTTTCTGCCCTAAGATCTCAGTGGTCAAGGATCCACACAACATCCTGAGGCAAGGGGTGGCTTCCATTTGAATAAGGCAGCCCTGGTTGGCTGCCTGAGGGAGGCATGAGTGGCTGGCACCTGGGCTTTAGAAGGGGTAGTCCCTCCTCCTTCCCCTCCCCAGGACTTGTCCTTCCCTCTCATTCCTGAGCCACCGGCTGAGAACAGAGCTGTGACTCACCCCACCCCCAGCGCCCGGTGCTTTAATCCCACAGGAAGTGGGGCATCTGTCGGCAGCAGCTGCCACCCAGAGCCCAACCCCACATGGCTGGGGCTGCAGGGTAGGGGCACAGGGTTGAGCATACTCCAGAACCAGCCCCAAAGCACCAGGTCTGGCCCAGCCTAGGAGCTGAGGCACAGTCCACCAACCCTCTTCCAGTCCTGTGCTTGTATACCCTCAGGGACAGGGTTCTCACCCACTCCCTGAGAGTTTTTCTCACCCTTTAAACCACACGAGGTAGCAGCCCACCCTGCCAAGCCTCCTTACATGTACGTGGCAATTTGGCGCAGGTCGGTGGGGTCCAGGCGATAGCCACACTCTTCCCAAGCCTCCTTGCAGGCCACTTCTTCTAGTGAGAGCCCAGGTTGGTCCACAATGCCGGCACAGAGTTCCACCATCACTCCCACTGAGCCAGGCAGTGCTGGCTGAAGTTTCTGGGGCTGGTCCTGGTCCACAGCTGCCAGAGACCCTGGGAAGAGGCGCTCCACCTCGCCTGCATATACAGCTGGTATGGGGGGAAGCACGGCCACATGGTGGTCACCTCAGAGCAATCTATTCTGGGCCCGGCACCTCCTGCTGGAGCTCAGTTTCCCCTAGAACCACCACTGCATCAGCATTCAGACGCTCAGGATCAAGGGCCTGGAAGCACGCTGCAATTCCCCCTTCCCAGCTCCTGCCCACCCAGCTGGTCTCACCTGGCCGGAACTGCTTCACCAACACCAGGCTTCTCTGAGAGGAGTTGAACATGAGAATGGTCACACTGCATGGGGGAATGAAGCGCAGTAAGAACACGCCACAGTCAGGCCATTGCTCAGATAGCAAGGCCACGCAGTCAGGCCAGGGCCCTGACCTGCTAGGTTCAGGTTCACAGAATAGGGGCAGGGGGAGAAAACATACTGGGCAACTGGGAGAGTGGAGGCCTCTGCTGGCTGGTTTCCCAACTGTCACACCCCTCACAAACCGCGTTAGCCCACGCTCTGGATCCTGAAGAGTAGGATCAGCAGATCTCTTCAGCCCTAGGAGGGGCCCTGGTGTCCTCAGCTACTACATTCCTTAGCCACCAGGCCTCACAGACGTGAGAGCCAGAGACTAGGTTGAGGTGGGAGGTGTTTGAAGACACTAAGGAGAGCAGAAACTGGGGGATTGCCTAGTGGCCAGGATAGCCCCTCTCACCTGTCATGTGTTTTCATGAAGTCCCAGGACTTCTGGACACCGTCCTGAAAGAGGCAGGGTAGCAATCAGGAAGGGTGAGTGGCTGCCAGCAACAGATGGAGGTACATGGGCCAGACAGACCCACTGAGGCAGCTCCCAGCAGGGAGGCTTGCTGCCTGCCTACATCCATCAGGAATGGGGACTTGCCGCAGGTGGGGGTAGATGAGGTCTCCCCAGAAGTCAGGGTAGCCTGGTGTTCCGGGAAGGGTAAGTTAGAAAGCCCGGGCAAAGGGCAGGAAAGGCATTTCATGAGCACAAAGTACTACAGAAACCTATGTTGCCATCAAGTGTGGGAAGGAACTAGGAGGATACAGGAAGGGCAGATGTGACACCCTTAGGTGGGGCAGAGAGGATCGCAGGTGGGCAGAGCAGAAGTCAGGTGTTCACTGCTGAATTTCCCTTGGGCCACAGGACAGTTCACACTGCAGTTGTGCGTTGGGCGGTGAGTCCATGCCCCACCCTGCTGCAGGCTCAGGCTATCTCTTACACATCCCATAGTCCTGCTGATCCTGCATGTGGGGCAGGCTCCCTAGATCCATGCAGCACTCAGGAGACAGGTAAGGCGGGCCCTGCAGTAGAGGACAGCTAGACCGGATGTCAACGGTGCCTTGTATACCAGGTTAGGAGGGCCCCACCTTTCATCATCAAGATGCCACGTGGTAAGACAGGCTGTGTCTGGGGGCTGGAGACCTAGAGCCTATTCACCCCTAACCCTTCCTGCTGCTTACCCACCTTTGGGTCATTCAGCGAGCCCTGGCCAGCCTACCACAGATGCTGGGGCTCCATCCAAGCCGAAAAATAGACAGGGGCCTGGGCCCCAGAGACAGAGCGGTGGGCAACAAAGAGGGAGATGTTGAGGAACCGCCACAAGGGCTTCCTCGTGTTGGCCTACAGGTGGAGAAGGGTACTGCTACGCATGGGAGAGCCTCACAGGTGAAGGTCCCAAAGCAGAAAGACTGACGTGAGCCTGCAGGCAGAGGTATCTTGGGACGGTGGTAGCAGCCTGGTTTCCAGGGCGAAAAAAGAGCCAATGTCCTGGGCAGGTCAGGCTGCCCAGGAGGCCGTTGAAGCCCCACCCCACGAGGCGAGCCCGGGCCTGCCTGACATCTCGCCACCCAGGCAGGCTCCAAAGAAGGCTACCTGCCCAGGCTGCAGTGAGCCTTGTGTTGCCTACCCTCACAGCTTCCATTCCCGTAAGTATCACTCCAAAGGACCCTCTTGACCCAAGGTCAAACATTTTGTTAGAGCCGTGGGAAGAGCCGGAGAAGCTGACATTGGCAGTGGGAGGGACAGACAGGCCTAGGACATCGAGGTGGACACAGGCTGAGTAGGGCAACTGGGCCCCTGCTTTTGGTCTGTCTACCAGACCTCTTTTGGCCAGGAGCAGCAGTCAGTTAAAGGCTGCCGTTCCCTAACCAGTTCACAGCCCAGCCTCAGTATCCCTCAGCTCCTGAGGAAATGCTACCCGTCCCCCGCCACCGCCATGAGTATGGCTGCTGCCTGCTCAGCTGAGCTCTGGTTACCAACCCCATCAGCGGAAATGTGCTGGTGGGCTGCCAGCCAAGGCTGCAAAACCACCCCACAGCACTTCCCAGGAAGTAAGGGAAGCACTGTTGTCAGGGGCCATAGCAGAACTAGCCTGGACCACCCTGCTCCCAACAACTGCCCACCCGAGCCTCAGGTCCTGTGTACGAACAGCCACAGTGCCCATCCCCTGTCACCAGCCAGTGAAAGGGGAAAGGAAAGTGACCCCCATGTCCCTCAACTTAACTCAACTGCTCCCCCAAGCCTGAACTACCCTTGGCTGCACTCTGGGAGAGGAATTCTGTGTCCTGGGGTCAGGAGGACCTGTGCCCAGCAAACACATGAGGGTCAGGGGGATTTTCAGGCTGGAGGCCGCCACACTGGACACTGGTGACAGGGATGGATGTGACAGGGAGGATGGGGGTGCTGGGCAAACACCAAGCCCTGGGTGGTTTGACCTGGGCTGAAACCCAGTCAGGGCTACACTGACCAGGTCAGGCAAGCAGTGTGCATCTGATAGCACAGCGAAGGGAAGTAAGCAGAGACCGACTAGACAGGGCCGGCAGAGCAGAGAAGGCCCACCCTGCTGGAAGACCACAGGGTGAGAGGAGAGAGAGGAGGCAGCAACCAAGCTCAACAAATGTCTTCTGTGGGCCTACTATACACCCCACGGTGCCAGCAAGAAAGCTATGGACGGCCCTGTTGCTCTAGGAGACACCTGGGAGCTGGGAAAGGTTGAACTGGGGAGGCTTCTTAGAAGCAGTAGCCTTTCCGCTAAGGCTTGAAGGAGGAGCTAGAAGGAATGAGCAAAGGGTGTCTCCCATCACAAGGTGGGCTTCTTTCCCCAGAGTTCTTCCTGCCCTGAGATCCAACTGCATAAAAGTATCGATGGGCGGTCAGAAATGGAGGGCCAGTCAATCTGCCTTGGAGGGAAGAGAGAGCATCCTCGAATGTCCTTCCTTGGCCATTCCAGGTTAACTGAGTCTGAAAACCGGTGGTCAGGACAGCAGGAGGGCGGAGCTCGGGCTCAGAGAACCAGTTCGGGGCGGAGGCGTGAGCCCCGGGGGCGGAGCCAAACCCGGGGGCGGGACCGCATAGTCGGCGGGGTTAAGTGGGGTGAGCAGAGAGGCGCGCGAGGGGCAGATCACCTGGCGGTAGTGCAGCCTGAGAGGCCGCAGGTAGGGCGAGCGGGAACAGAGGCCCACGGCCACCCCCTCGATGCGCTCCATGGGTGGCGCAGTGGAGAGTCTTCCGCAGACAGGAGCTGGCGGGAGCGTCTACGCACTTCTGGGCATGCCCAGTTCGCGCGGAGGGCGGGCCGGAGGGCGGGCCCCAGCGCGCAGGTAGCACCTGCTGAGTGCAGCGCGCAAGGGAGGCGCTGTCAGGCTGGTCTCCAAGCCCTAGAGAGGGGATGAGAACCCGGTAGGGTAGAGGAGGGCTTTGTGGTAATTGAAGCCTCCAACGGGTAGGAATCAAAGGGGATCGCCGGGGTAGGGGAGCCGAGCAGATGCCTGCCTGCCCCTGGTTAGTAACAACCCCACCCCCTCCCCAAGCTTGGGAACCGGGGCGATCACTGGAGCATACAGAAGGGGAGAGTAGGAAGACTCCTCTCAGAAGAGTCAAAAGAGAAAAGGCTGATGAAGAAAGGCTAGAGGAAGAGCCCCAGCCCAGGTAGAGGCTGACCTGGCCTGGACTGCACCCCAGTCTGAGAGAAAGTGCGACTTGTCTCTGGCTGTTTCTCTTCACAGAGGCCATGTTGTTCCTTACCGCACTGCACACATTCACCCAGCCAGAGAGGGCTTCAGAACTCCTCCATCACAATATCAGTCTAGATGCATCCAAAGGCCCAGGCCACTCCAGATTCAAGGGGAGGGGAATTCACAATATGGGGCACATGGGTCACAAGACTAGCCATTCTTGAAGACTAGACACACACACACACACACACACACACACACACACACCCCTACCTCTCCTAAAGCACTGTGCTTTCCAGCTTTAAGCATGGCCACCAGGTGTCCTGGAGGTCCAACTGACCTCCATCCAGGGGCCCCTCTAGCAGCCCACCCCGGCCAAAGGTGTCTTCCTCCCATTTCAGAGGCCTCTTGGCAGGCCTTTCCTCCCTGGGGTGTGTGCAGACAATAAGGACCAGTCTCGGGCTCATCAGCAGGGCAGGAGAAGGAGGAGGTTACAGGGCCTAGTGTCACTGGCTGGGGGTTATGTTTGCACTCGCTCTGGGCACCTGGGCCTGCCTAGCAGGAGAACAGGAAGAGCTCACAGCTCCACAGGACAATATGATCACATCTGGGGCCCCTGATAATTAGGGCCACTGTCACCTCAGGGCCTTCAAACAGCCACACCTACAAAACTCTCTTTGCCCCTTTAGGCTCCATGTGAACACAAGCAGGCACACAGTAGGGCAGATCCTATACCCGGGGAGCTGTAGGGCACAAATGGTCTGCCCACTGCTGGCTCCAGGATGGAAGATGCTCTTAGATCGTGTCCATGGCCTGGACACGTCTAGGTGGGCACTGGGTTCTGTGTTATCTAGTGGGATGACAGGTAGCCTGTAGGTCTGGAGACTTAAGAATACCATACAACATGAGGATCCTAAGAGACAGAGTGGCTGGGAGGACTGTGTCAAGGCTGGGAGACCAGGTAGCTCTGGAATACGAAGACCTCGTCTTTCTGGTAACCTGACAGAGCTGAGACCCTGCCCCTATTTTCCTGTGTGTCAGCTGTGGCAGAGCAGACATCCGGGAAAAATACCCATCCTCCGCTCTCTCCATGCCACCCCCATTCCAAGCAGAAGCCATGCCCAGCACCCCTTGTTGGAATGTGCTTATTACACAGAGAAGGGTGACTGTGACCAGGTACAAAGCTCCGGCTGGGGTCAGCTTCCTCCAGCACTGGCGGGTTGCTTTGCTATCTGATTATCTCCAGGGGCTACTTCCACCCACCTGTAGGCCACTGAGGGCTTTGTGGGACCTCACTTCTGCCTGCCTCCCTTGTGCTGGACAAGAGCCTGAGTGCTGTGCTGGCCGGACCTTCCGAGTGCCTGTGTATTTGCTTGGGACGGCTGGGCCAGAGCTGCCAAGGAGCTGGGGATATAGGCCAAAGTCAAAGTGACTTCTAGGATAGAGAGAGGTAAGCAGTGCTGGCCCCAGTGGGTGGGGCTAAGGCTGGTGACGTTCTCTACGTGGTTGTCCTTTTTCTGCATTTGAACTTTTTCCAGTACGGACTCCGCCCCACCACACACACTTCTCAGTGGTTTTGAGGGTCTGACTCTGTAGCCCAGCCTCACCTGGAACTCCTAACCCATCACCTGACCGCAGCCTCTGGAGTGCTGGGATTACAGTTGTGAGCCACTACAGTGGACTCAGAACAGATAAAGGTGTTTACTGTTTGATGATGCAAGCCTGGTGACCTGAGCTCAATCTCTGAACACACACAAAAGCAGGAGAGAACTGACTCTACGATAGTTGTCCTCCGTGTGACACCAGCCACCCCTCCAGCCACCCCCACTGCCACCATCACATACCCTGTGTATGTAAATATGCATGCCTCTCAGAGTTGTTGGGTGTCTTCCTCTACCACTGTCTACCTCATTTATCCTGCCTCTCTCCCCAGGAGCTGAGCTTCCAGACATGCACCCTGGTTTTGTTTGGGTGCTGGGATCCTCACGCCAGTACAGCCTTGTCCCCTGCGCCATCTCTGGCCCCTCAGAGCAGATTTCAAGAGGAATAGGTCCCATACTACCAGCCGTGGCCTCAGCCTTCCTGAGCATGTCTTGGGCATGCATGCATATTCTCTGCCAGACTCTGTGAAGAGTTGCAGCAGGCTTCTGTGGAGTTAAGAGTGAAGGACACAGAATCAGGATATTGCCAGGTTTTCTGACCCAAACAACTGGAAGGAGGCCAGTCGAGCAAAAGCAGGTTGTGGTGTTTTGCTGTGGGGTGGAGATTGGGCTTTGGCCTCTCCTGGCTGTGAGGCATCTCAGGGGACATGGGTGTCTATAGCAAAAGGATGAAGTTGGAGCCTTGCGAGGCACCAAACACAAAATTAATTCAAATGGACCAGAGCCTTGAGCAAAAGGACCAAGGTTTAAAACTCCGAGGGGGAAAAAGGGCAGACACTCACGACATTCAACTCGTCAATGACAGCTGAAGGGAAAGCAGTCAGATTGGACTTCATGAACATGCAAAATCTATCGGGGGCCAGTGGTGGCGCATGCCTTTAATCCCAGCACTTGAGAGGCAGAGCCAAGCCAATCTCTGAGTTCGAGGCAGCCTGAACTACAGAGTGAGTACACAGAGAAAACCTGTCCAAACAAGAAGGAGGAGGAGGAGGAGGAGGAGGAGGAGGAGGAGGAGGAGGAGGAGGAGGAGAAGAAGAAGAAGAAGAAGAAGAAGAAGAAGAAGAAGAAGAATCATCATCTCTGTGCATCAGAATGCGACTGTGAATGGACACATGAATATACAGGTGTACACTCTGCTGTGCAATGGAGCACTGTTAAGCCTGAAAGGAAATTGTGGCACATGCTACAAATGATGACCTCTGAGGCGGAATGAAATAAGCCAGTCAAAAGAACCATGTGCTTCCATTCATATGAGGTTCCAGGAGTAGTCCGATTCGTAGACACAGCAGATAGAAGGGGTGTCTGGGGGAGGAGGCTGGGGACAAGATTTTAGTTTGGGATGATGACAGTGTTCCACAATGAGCACAATGACAAGTGAGTTTAATGCCACTAAACTGTACACTTAAAAGTGGTTACAATGGCCAGGAGTGGCACACACCTTTAATCCCAGCACTTGGGAGGCAGAGGCAGGTGAATCTCTGTGAGTTCAAAGCTACCCTGGTCTACAAAGAGAGTTTCAGGATACCCAGGGATACACAAAGAAACCCTGTCTTGGAAAAAACAAACAAACAAAACAAGTGATTACAATGGAACCTGTAATACCAGCACTGAAGAGGTGGAGGCAGGCGACGCAGGAGTTCAAAGCCCGCATCTGCTACATGAGACACTGTCTTAAAACAAACTAAAAAAAAAAAAAAAAGGTTACAACAGTGAATTTTGGGTGTGCTTTAAGAAAAGAAAACTGGCAGTATCAAAGTTAGTCTTGAACTTTTCACCAATCCTCCTGCCTCAGACTTCCCAATTAAAGTGCTGGGGTAACAGGTGTGCACCACATGGGCGCCATCAACGGTGGGTGAGTAGTTGAAGGGGTAACCAGCTCTGTTTCTCATTGTACACATAAAGCGCTGCTTTGAATTTTGCTGGGGCATGTACTACTTTTTCAATTAAAATCATTTTAAATGGTTAAGATGATAAATGCTGTATTTGTGTATTTTACTCCCATTGAAACATTGTGAGGATGTGAGATGTGTGTGGTAAGGTGGGTTTTGTGTCAGAGGTGAGTGAGACAGAAGATGCCTGGGGAAGAGCCCAGAGAGACGTAGGGGAGAGGTGGCCGGAAAGGGCATAAGCAACATGTCTCACAGCCTTTGTCTGTATCAGCTGTCTCCTCTGCTCCCCTCAAGAGGTGCAGTGAGGCTGCTGAGGCCTCCCCATCCTATCTATGGGGCATCGTGGCTGCTCCCATTCCTCCTAGTGTGTTCTAGGAGGCTCTCTTTGGGCGGGTACCCAGCTCTGAGTCACTCCTCGGGGCCACCTCTCATGTTGGATCTTTCCCTAGATGTCTTCTACCACACGCTGCTGCCCCAGGGTCCCTTGCAGGCCCCTCCAGTACACAAGACACGCTCCTGCTTTCCTCACTGGGATTGGGCTCTGTCCAGCTGGCCGCCTGTTCCTGTGAGCTGGTCTCCCCACATGTCACTGTAGACTCTGGGTCTCCAGGAGACAGCTGTGCTGTAGACTCGGGCCCCAGGAGCCCCAGGTCTCCCTGCATGTTATCAGGCTGTGGATGGTTCTCACCCGCCCTCATCAACTCTGTTGCTCTGTCCAAGGAAGTGTGGTGACACCAGAGGGTCACATATAGGCCTACACAAGTGAGGCCAAGCCTGTGAGTCTGTGTATGGTGGCGAAAATGGAAATGAGCTCTTGTGCTGCTGACATCTTTGACCCGAAACTGAAGCAGGTCCAGGCTCTTCCTCGACAGCTTAGGAAAGTCCCTAGATGGACAAGGATAGCATGGATATTGTAGACAGGTGGCCTGAAGCTTGGAGGAGGGCAGGGCTCAGAAAGGTTGCTCCCTCACCCTGCTGGGATGCCATGACACTCTAGCGCATGTTCAGCCAAAGAAGAGGTGTGCGGGTAAGGGACCAGCCCACCTGG